AATGTATAAAAATACATAAACAAAAGTTGTAAAATTCATTCCCTTTATGACTTTATTAGGTTCTTAGCAGGCCAAAACACTGGTATATTGATAAATTCTGTATATTGGGAATATATCCCAAAAGAATTACATATAACACATATCTAGTCTAGTTTGATATTAAATTCTTACTCAACAACTCTACATGCTTAAAGTTACTGTGCATGCAACAGACATCAGAGCTGCACCCTCCTCTCATTCTTTCTGAAGTTTCATGCACAATGTTTATTCTTTTCTTGTTTCTATGTTTACGTTTTCAACTTTGATATGGTTGAAATGGCCTTGGGTCAAGATATGTACCCTTATATATCAAGTGACAACATTTCTACATTTCTTCAGGTTCAAATTGGGTTGTGGAGATTTTAACACAGCTGGAAATTGCCTCTGGAAAATATGATGACGATGAACAGAAGCGAAGGCAGCAAATACTGCAAGAATTAACACTAGTTCCTCGTCTTGAATTTGGAGATCCAGAAAAATTTGAGGTTAGAAATCAGAGAAATACACCGTAGCTTCCATCAAGTGGCAGGAAGGTCATATAAAAGATTTACAAGCTGTAAACAGGAGTGCTATTTTTATAAATTAGAGCACCTTGAGACTTCACAAGGTGAAATTCATTCATTAGAAAAGAAAAGAGCTGGATGGGTGCAAGAGAAAAATAGGGATGTTTGTGTGAGGTCTCTGTGTTCAGCTCACAGTAAAGATTTATTGTAGATCATTGGAGCTCTACTACAAACAAAGCCCTTAAATATCATAACATTAAACTATAAGAAATAAATTAAAGTAAGGGCTGGCATCCTTGTAACACTCATCTAAATGTGTATGTATTGATGGGAAAGCCACCACTGACATCAAGACCCAAGTCAGAAGAGACAACATTTTTAGTTTTTCTGGTTTGTTTTTTAGGTGAATTAATTCTATTCCAAAGCTTAGCCAGCCTTATTTAGTGTTATTTCCAATGAATATAGAGGGAAATTGCATTTTGAGTTTTGATAATATGCCACCAAATATCAGTGGTAAACACCCACACACTGCCGAGACAAACAAATTAATAAAAAGGACTTGAAGATTGTCCGAGATTTTCAGCTTGTCCTTATTTTAAAATATTTCATGTTGCTCTGTATCTTATCATGAATATCTAGTTCAACTCATGCCCTTTTTCATAGACTGTTATAGAAAAAAATGCATTTTATCAATAACAGTCATATAAGTTAAATCCAAGTGTCCATTCCACATCTGAAGAATTTCCTCAATCTATATCCTTATTACACTGATGGAAACCATATCCATTTCTCTGGAATGAATTAAGGGACCATTGTATCCAACCAAGATTTCCATGTCAACCGAAAAGTTCTAGAATGCTGTATTGAACATATTGAACACAATTTAGCAAGGGAGATTTGGCCTGGAACTGTTTTCAGTGATTTATTTCTATTAGTTGAAATGAGATGCCACTGTTTGCATGACAAGAAAAAGCATATTTAATAATAATAATAATAATAATAATAACAACAACAACAACAACAACAACAACAAACAAACAAACAAACAAACAAACAAACAAATAAACAAACAAACAAACAAATAAATAAATAAATAAAGTTGGAATGAACCTTGGAGGTCATCGAGTCCACCCCCTGCTCATGCAGGAAACCCTACACCATTTTGGACAAATGGCTATCCAGTCTCTTCTTAAAAACTTCCAGTGTTGGAGCATTCACCGCTTCTGGAGGCAGATTGTTCCACTGGTTAATTGTTCTAACTGTCAGGAAGTTTCTCCTTAGTTCTAGGTTGCTTCTCTCCTTGATTAGTTTCCACCCATTGCTTGTTGTTCTGCTTTCAGGCACCTTGGAAAATAGCTTGACTCCCTCTTCTTTGTGGCAGCCCCTGAGATATTGGAATACTGCTATCATGTCCCCCCTCGTCCTTCTCTTCATTAAACTAGACATACCCAATTCCATCAACCTTTCCTTATATGCTTTAGCCTCCAGTCCCCTAATCATCTTTGTTGCTCTTCTCTGTACTCTTTCTAGAGTCTTAACATCTTTTTTACATCGTGGTGACCAAAACTGGATGCAGTATTCCAAGTGTGGCCTTACCAAGGCATTGTAAAGTGGTATTAATACTTCACGTGATCTTGATTCTATCCCTCTGTTAATGCAGCCCAGCACTGTGTTGGCTTTTTTGGCAGCTGCAGCACATGCTGGCTCATATTTAAATGATTGTCCACTAGGACTCCGAGGTCCCTCTCACAGTTACTACTATTGAACAAGGTACCCCCAATACTATACCTGTACATTTGGTTTTTCTTGCCTAAATGTAGAACCTTACTTTTTTCACCATTGAATTTCATTTTGTTAGATAGCCCCCAATGTTCAAGTCTGTCCAGGTCCTCCGGTATCTTAAGCCATTTAAAATGTTGGCTTTCCATCTGTGTATAGTTTTTTCTAAAGTGTCTCAATGATTTGATGTCTTTTAACCAACTCCAAACTCAAAGGCAGCATGTCTTAAACCAGTTGCAATGATCTAGGAAGCAAAAACTAAAGAACACTATTGACTTTTGCTTCCCTTCGAAGTCCACTCTTGCCTTCAGCCACCTTGTAATGGATGTGCTTGTGAGGGCAGCTTTCAGAACCCAACCAGATAAACTGGATAGGTCTCATAAATCAGATTTGTTAAAATTGAAGAGTTGCATTGGTTCTGTTTCAACCAGGGCTTTTTTTCAGCCGGAACGCGGCGGAACCGCGTTCCGGCACCTTTTTCCGGGCCGGCCGCACCGGAAATAGCCCCTCCCACACCGGAAATAGCCCCTCCCAAATTTTACTTGAATTCCTGTTCTCTAAAGGGGCGGTCCTAGGGTTTGATGAGGGCGTGGCCAGGTTTGAGTTCCGCCACCTTTTCTCCGAGAAAAAAAGCCCTGGTTTCAACAATGCAAAAATAATAATGTAAGCAGCATGCGGCAATGTATTTTTTTCCTCCTTTCTTCATCTGCCTACAAAGACTCCTGATGAATAGCAATAGCATTTATTTAGATTTATATACTGCCTCATAATGCTTTAAAGCACTCTCTGGGAGGTTTATGGTGTCAGCATATTACTCCCAACAATTTGGCTTTTCATTTTACCAACTTCAGAAGAATGGAAGGCTGAGTCAACCTTGAGCCCTGTTAGGAACAAACTCCAGGCTGTGGGCAGATTTTACCTGCAATACTGCATTCTAACCACTGCACCCCAGGGCTCTTCAGAAAAGGTTGGAATAGAACAAATTGATATATAGCTTTATTGATCTACCATTCTGTGCACACCTATCTCCCTGCCTGCAAGAATATTACTGTTGTGTCATTGTGTATGTGTGCATGTCATTGTGTCTGTTCTAAAATGTAATATGTAAGCCATATAATTTCCCAAATTATTAACCAACTGTGTTAACCAAATGTGTTAATTATTCAGGAGATGCAATGGCTCAGCGGTTAAAGATGCTGAGCTTGTTAGCTGAAGAGCTATCGGCCTGGGTTCAAGACATGACCTCCATGAAATGGGGTGAACTCCCATTAGTTGCCCCAACCCCTGCCAACCTAGCAGTTTGAAAGCATGCAAATGCAAGTAGATTAATAGGTACCACTTCAGTGGGAAAGTAACAGCTTTTTTTGCGCCTTTGGCATTTAGCCATGCTTGCCACATGACCATGGAAATTGTCTTTGGGTACCATTGGCTCTCTTGGCCAAGAAATGGAGATGAGACATACATGGCTGACAGGGAAACCATTTACCTTTTTTGTTAATTATGCCTAGATAGCAATCTCTTGTGGCTAGCCAAATAATTACCGTCTTGAGTCTTCTATAATCCTCAATTGGGTAAGACCAAATCTTAAAAGCACAATTCTCCTTTGTTTTCTGGGATCTTTCCATTACACCAGAAGTGGTGTAATGTCTTTGGTCCACCATGAACTTGAAAACTTTTAACATTCAAACTAACTAAATCCAGTTTAATTTGCCAGCCATATTCCCCTCCCTCCCAGTTCCAAAACTTCAACTCTAATTCCCTTTCTGCTTCCCTCACCAGCTTGTTTTCAACATCCTTTAAAGTCTTAGCATCAGATCTCTGTATATGTCCAAAAAACGCCGTATCTGCTCTGCCCCAATGCTTTTACAGAGGAATTTATCACTCTCCAAATACAGCACATGTATTGGGGAGATCATGTCACAGAATGACAATCAGTGTTTAGCTGCTCAATTCTTTCACATTTACACTGCACTGTGGATTCCACAGTAACTTTCCTCACATCAATCAGTATGTTTTATATGAAACAGTCACATAATTAGGTAGGGTCAGGCAAAAGCAACCACAAGGACTCCTGGAGAGTCTCAACAGAAGTTTTATTCCTGGTTGTCTATGTTACACGAAACTCACTATACTGTATGCTTTCCCTTGGGAACAGCAAGATAAGGCTTCAAGGATTCTGAGGGAGGTCAGACCTGTGCTGCTTCCACTTAACACCTCCTTACAGTCTAACTCAGTGGTTCTCAACCTTTTTAATGCTGCGACCCCCAACCGGTCGTAAGTTGAGGACTAAACCGGTCGTATGTCAAGGACTAAACTGATCATAAGTCGAGGACTAAACTGGCCGTAAGTCGAGGACTACCCAACCGGTCGTAAGTCAAGGACTTTCCCTGCCCGGGAGCGCCGCGCATGCGTGGTTCCGCCCCCTGCGCAGGCCGAGGCGTAGCTGGCAAGCAACAGAGACGGAGCAGGCCGACCACCAGCTGGCCCAGCCCAAGGGAGGTAAGGCACCCACCGGAAAAGGGGAAAAAATGGCGGACAGCCTTGCTTGGCGACCCGCGTGAAATGGTCGATCGACCCATAGGTTGAGAACCACTGGTCTAACTGGAGATTCCACCACAGAGTTTATGATGACAAAGATCACTTGGACTCAGATTTTTTTTAGAGATGAACTTTGATATCCCTAATTTATACTTCCACTTGATAAAAAGCATCCATGAAAGAGACCTAAAACAAGATGGATTGACAACATCAGCAAGTATTGTGGACCCAATTGGTAAAAGAAACCTCAGGACTGTATAGGTTGGAAACATGAGAAAGAGGTCTTCATTCTGCAGTGGATAGACAATGACTAAAATTATGATGATGATGAATTTATAGTTGTGTATAATTTTCTTTGCATAAATGATATTAACTTCCTTTTATTTTAATATGATTAAAGAGGATGGAAAAAATGCCTTCCAGAAGAATTATAAGAACACACCTCAGCCCTCAAAAGTTGCCCAAGTCTATTTTTGAAAAAAAGGCAAAAGTAAGCACCTTAATTCTCAATTTTGGTTTTACATATCATTAAGATATATACATATTCATATATATAAATCTATCAATGAAGTGTTGTTGAATAAATTTACAGAGTAAAATAAGACAGCAAGCCCAAGATCATACTAACTTCTCAGGTTCTGAACTGGCGTGGAACATAATTATAAGAAATTGTGTTTTATTCAAAATAAAAATGGAATGATTTCTTTTTCTGGTTTTCAAGCAAGCAGGAAAGGTGCAACATTGCAGCTTGAAGTCTGAAATTGTTGCAGCTTGATTTCATTTTTTAGTATTGTATCAGGCAAGTTCAACAAATCAGTCTTATCTTCACTTAATTATTCAGACTGAACCATTGTTAAATATCTCGTGTTAAATATTCTTAGCTTTGCTGCTTACAATACTTTACTTAGGATCTTGGGAAATGGAAATAGAAGAGATTGGACAACCATTTGTTCAGAAGGGTACGGGGACTCCTGCATGAGCAGGGGACTGGAATAGAAGACCTTTAAGTTCCCTTCCAACTGTGTTATTCTGCTATTCTGTCTTGGAAAGGAACTTTATTTAAAAACAAAATTACTATTCTCTTAATTTGATAATTTTATCTCTATTTTTTTATTCCAAGTTTTTTTTTAATTAATTTTACAATATTTACATATTTGAAAAGTAGTGTGGCGGCTGAGCACAGTAATTCCATTACATTGGAATATCATCAGTACAAATCTCAAAGTATTACAACAAGAAATTCCCTCTCTTTCCCTCATAATATCTACTCTCATGTTCGAACCAATACAGTTTTTATTCTATCAATCAAACAAAAAGTACCTTTCTAATATTCATCAATAATCTTCAGTCTATACATATCTTAATTAATTTGACATTCCACCTTTTAGACAATAACCTAGTAAGTTTTTCTTAACTTTAATTTCCCATTGATATTTAAGTTTAACGTTTAATCTTTATCATTTCCAGATTTTAAATGATCCCAATTTCTAATAATTTTATTTCTAATCCCCATTCAGTTCATTTCCAAATACCGTATTTTTCGCTCTATAAGACGCACTTTTTCACCCCCAAAAGATGGGGGAAAATGTCTGTGCGTCTTATGGAGCGAATGCTGCCTCCCTTCCGCGCTGCCGCCGCCGCCGTGGCCTCCCGAACGCCCCGCTGCGGCCCGCCGCACCCCCCCGCGGCCTCCCAAACGNTTTCATTTCATTCTCTAAAGTTCATCTCACAGACATAAACCTAGATTAACTGCACATTAGCCTAGTATTTGTATACCATTTGTATACCATTCCCATAAACCATTATGTTGTAATGGGATGACAAATCTCACTCAACATGCTGAGACAATGGCAGCGTTTCCTATAGTACTGAACTACAAATTACCCAACCTCATTTTAGCCTAGTATAGTATGTTGTGTGAATTTGGCCAGTAAGTAACATTGACTTGATTTGTGTTTTCTGTATACATGTCTAATGCAGGCTACAAAGAGAAATATTCTTGCATCCCTTACCCTTTGCAAAAACATTCATTTCCATTCTGGAGTCATTTGTGAGCTCATTTGAAAATTAATTCTTTGAAAAGTAAAAGTAATCCATTTACCATCCAGTCAGAACCGAATAAGTTTTTCTTCCTCAAGAAAAAAAACAAAACGTAGTCCAGTTGCCTTTTGAAAAAGCACCTTTGAGACAACCATGACCTGGATGACTAAGAATCCCCATAGATATTAATTCTCTCTTGTACACATTTATGTGCTTAATTGCCATTTAATGTTATTGGCTGTTAAATCAGGATGCATTTTTTCAGCATTTTCTCATTTGACTCCACCAATTCTACTAATGACACAATGAAAACTATTACATCGGTTTTAAACTTAACTTTTCAGTTTAGTGGGAGGAAAGTGACCAAATATATTTACTTTAATGAGTAAGGACAATGATAATTCCGGGACAGGTCTGACGAGAAGTATCTACAGGTGGTATCAAAAGAGGGCATGGGGACAAATGACCAAAGCTTCACAGTGGCATGATAGCACATTGCTGTTTTCCTCATTTTGATGAGAAGTTGTATCTTGCCAATGCCTCTGTGTGTGGTTGACTATGGTTGAAATGACATATGGTTTGACTGGTACCCATAAACAAAAATTGGAATTATACACTATGAATGAATGGCAAAGCAAACACCAGTTTTGGTGAATAATTAAGGCAATCTAATAAGCACACATGATTAGCAAGCAGAGGCTTCAGTGGAGAGGGAGCTGCCAAAAATGTCAAGATGATCACCATGACTATACAATCAAACCTTGCACCTTTTAAAAAATGTGTGGTACGTGTAAAAAAAAGAAACAGCGGGGTTTTTGTTGAGGGGCCATAAGTTTTGGATTCCCCTATAGATGCTCCTGTTACCTGAGCAACCCAACAATTAAATAATAATAATAATAATAATGGTGATCAATGATTAAAATTATGTATGGTAATTTGCATCTGTTAATAATCAGAGAAAAAGTGAAATAGAAAGGATACAGTGAGAGTTCACACTGAAATCAATATCAAAATGTTCTGCTTAATTCCTACCAGTGATCTTTGGATCTTATTTTGATCATATTACTGAATGGAACAACTATCTGGAGGACAGCAATGTATTTTTTATTACCTATGAGGAAATAAAAGAGGTACGTTTTTAAGAATAAACATTTAGATTTAATTTAATAAAAAAATTATGTCTGGCCAAGTACTATATAGTAATGAACAATTGATCAGGATATAGAAATAGGAAATGTAACTCAAGATTTCTACCTGGTTACTTTTCTCTAAGCAATTGGTAAATATCTCAGAAACATTTTCATTTTAAGGTCAACTTCTGGATCACCTGATCTACTCTTGCTAATATTTCAATGAAACAATAAAAACTGTGTTTTGTTTTGCTTATTTATTTATTTATTTATTTATTTATTTATTTATTTATACTAATCTGCACAAGCCCAGCCTATAAATATATATAAAAAATGTATGGTACCCAGATCAAGACATGAATTGAAGCAATCTAAAAGCATACTTACTTATGTTATATATTGATGTATTATTCAGAATCCAGTCTCAGCACTGAAAAAAATAGCCAAATTCTTTAATTTTTCTGTAACTGAAGAGGAGATTGAGAGCATTGTAAAGAAAACAAGTTTTGAAAACATGAAAAATAACGCAGGAACCTGTGGAAAACTAGGGAAAGCACTTTTCCGCAAAGGTAACATTGTAATATTTTTAATAATTTTGTCTACAACATTTAATAGTCTTTTCTAACCTAGTGGCTTTATGGTGTGTGGGATTTCAACTCTTAATACTTAAAGGTGTGCTGGCTAGGAATGATAAGGGCTGAGGTCTAGCAGTGGGTTGGGAAAGGCTCATGATGCTTTATATTATTCAAATATTAGGGAATATGATACAGACAATCCTTGACTTACAACAGTTTGTTTAGTGATGTTTGAAGTTACAACACCACTGAAAAAAAAAATAACATGACCATTTTTTGCACTTACAACCAGTATCTTCATGATCACATGATCAAAATTCAGATGCTAGACAACTGGTTCATATCATGTGTTGCAAGATTCTCTTTTGTGACCTTCTGAGCAGTAAAGTAAATGGGGAAGCCAGATTCAATTAACAACAGTGTTACTAATTTAATAACTGCAGAGATTCACTTAACAACTATGGAAGAAAGGTCATAAAATGGGGGGAAACTCACTTAACAACTGCCTCACTTAGCAACAGAAATTTTGGACTCCATTGTGATTGTAAGTAGAAGACTACCTGTACAAATATATGAAGTGAATATTTTAGAATGAATCTGCACCTAAAGCTTTGCATCTAAGGTGGGACTAGAACTGACTGTCTCCTGGTTTCTAGCCTTGCGCCTTAATCACTACATCAAACTATTATATTTCTATTAATGTTTTTGAAACTCCTATAACCTAAAGGAGGAGTTTGACCAGTGTAAATGAAATCTGCAGGAGTTTGACCAGTGTAAATGAAATCTGTACTGTGCCATGGAAAGAGCAGGAAACCTCCCTATTACATATAGGAAGCCAGTCTTAATATTGTTACTTGTTGTATTTAACAGTTATTTGCACCCTTATAAATGTGCATATTATTTGTTTGCACAATTTATAGCCATCTCTCCATAAAATACTCACAATAAAATAAGACATCAATAAAACCAGTAACAATTTTAGAAGGAAAGAATCCAAATTAAATCATCTTAGAATTAATCTATCTACTTAGAAGCAATTTCCACTGAATTAAAGCAAATTTAAATAGGAGATGATACTAGAATGAAAGCACTAAAAGTCTGAAGAATTAATAAGCATAACTAGCTACTTAGAATGGGTAAGTATAAGGTATGAGAATGATAAAACTGCAGCCAGTGGTTCCCTGGCTAAAGAGAACTATTATATAAATATATTTTACCTGCTTCCCAAGAAAATCCAGAGACTATTTAATTGGAAGGATGGAGGAAAAAAATCAGATTTAATTCCAGAGCTTAGATGATAAGATGGATGGATGAAGAGAAGGATGGGAGGAAAAAAATCAGATTTAATTCTGGAGCATAGATAATAAGATGGATGGATGGATGACAGATAGATAGATGACAGATAGCTAAAATATGACTTCTTTGCACTGCCATGGGGAATCAATTACTCTGTTTATGGGTTCATTCTTCTCTATAATAAATATTTAAATCTCACTAAGATCTATCTGAGAGTCTTCTTGCTGAGTAGAATCAAATGCTGAATAAGGGGACAAATGCCATCGTATGAAGCCTGATAGTAATCTACAAAATGCTTATTGAAATGTATTAATCTATGTTTCTCATCCAAAAGGAAATAGCTAAAAGAACCTTTTTGAGGGATAACACAAGGGAGGGAGATCTTTGCCAAATCTGAGAATTGGGTATGGGAGATTCTCTAAGTAGGCATAAAATCTCCCTGTTAAAATTAACATTTCACAAACCATAGGAACTGAGCATCTAAGAATGTCCCATAGAAGTGTCTTTATTGTGCTATAAAAATATTTATTGTTTTTAAGGAGTTTTGAAGAATGTCTCAAAGGTGCATTTTCAAAAGGCAATTGGGCTTTTGTTTTTCCTCTTGAAGAAGAAGAAGACTAATTCCTTCCATCACCCCTACCATCCTTCCAGAACCGATGAAACTTCTTGGATGAGAAGCAAAATGTCTTTTTCTTCCTCAAGGGGAAAAAAAAGTCCAATTGCCTTTTGAAAAAGCCTCTTTAAGACAACTATGACCTGGATGACTGAGAATCTCCACAGAGATTTGAAGAATAGTTATTCTTTGGGAGAAAGACTTTCTCTCCCCTTAGCTTCCCACCCTCCACCTACCACTATAATTCTTCTTTTCTTTCTTTCTTTCTTTTTCTTTTTCTAGGCATAATAGGTGATTGGACATCTGTCTTCTCAGAAAGCCAGAGTGAAAGAATGGACAGAAAATTTGAGGAGAGTGTAGCAAAAACTAAGCTTGGAATGATGCTGAAATATGAGCTGTACTGCAAAAACTAAAGAAACCATCAGTGCTACACATCTCTCAGGTTCTGATTCTCTGCATGAGGTTAGGTTGTTCAAGAAGAATTTGTAGTGCCTTCCTCGGTCTCCAGATGTGCCAGATGCCATTTCTGATAATCCCAACATAGCTATTGGTTGGGTTATGTGATGAATAAAAAATGATAGGAGCTGGAGTCCAACAGTCTGAAAAAAAGCTGCTGTCAGGACACCAAGATATCTTACAGATATCTATATATTTGATATTTCATACTTATTTTTAAGTGGAAGAACCCTTCCAGAATTAATAAAAAACTATACTTACCTATAAGAATTTACTCTCTTATTCTATGCAAAATTTGTTGAGCAATTATGAAAGACAATGACTAAGAGGCTTCTATTGTTCCTGATAACAGAATTCCTTATAAATTTTATTTTGCTTTAATAGAGAAATTCACCCCCAGATTCGAAAGAAATAAGCTCTTGGTTCTAATCCATACCAAATGTTCTCTTCTGTATGACCACTAACACAAAGAAACTTTATAGTGAAGGCTTTCTACAAAGGAGGCAAATGTGCAAACAGTATTACACGGTTGTGTCAAAAATCTCATATTTGTATATGTGTGATATCATTAGCCCTAGCAAACTACAGATACCTTGTGTATAACGGGCCTGTATGTGCTTATTAAAAGGAAATAACATTGAGATCAACGGGGCTAACATTCAGATAAAAGGACTGCAGCCTTATAGTACAACCATATCTACAGATCAATACACATGAAGTCCTTCTTCTCCTGTGATCTGCACTGATGGGATCACACCTGGACCACTGGATGTCAGTCTTTCAGAAGAATATCTAGACCCATACCAGTCGGGCTTCAGGCCGGGACACAGCACGGAAACGGCATTGGTCGCGTTGGTCAATGATCTCTGGAGGGCCCGGGACAGAGGTTACTCCTCTGTCCTTGTTCTTTTGGACCTCTCAGCGGCTTTTGATACTGTAGACCACGGTATCATGCTGCGGCGTCTCGGTGAGTTAGGAGTGGGAGGCACCGTTATGCGGTGGTTCTCCTCCTTCCTCACCGACCGCACGCAGTCTGTATTGGCGGGGGGACAGAGGTCGACTCCTAGACCCCTAACTTGTGGGGTACCTCAGGGGTCGGTCCTCTCCCCCCTTTTGTTCAATATTTATGTAAAGCCGCTGGGGGAGATCATTCGTGGCTTTG